GAATGAGTCTCAGTAGGTCATGAAGTTTAATATTACATATTTGCATAACTGTTCTGGGAAGAATGATTTTAACCACAAGAGCTTTAAAGAAATGCTATTAAATAGATGAGATCAGGAGTTAATGGGAACATTCAAGGAACAGAGAATGAAGCAGAATCATAGAAACCCACAGTTCCATCGGCCATTGGTGACACACACCTTTAGTCCCAGCACTGGGGGGGGGCAGAGGCAGGCAGATCTCTGTGAGTTCTAGACCAGCCTGGCCTACCGAGCAAGTTCCAGGACAGGCTCCAAAACAATACAGAGAAACCCCGTCTTGAAAAACAAAAACAAAACAAAAGAAACCCACAGTTCCCTAATTTCTAATAGCTGTTCGATACCCTAAAAAGTTAAGAGAGATGGACATAAGGACAAGAGACAAGCAGTGCTAATTATTAAGAGTAAGCTTCCATGTTATGTTGCCTATAGGATAAATGGGAAAACCTGGTATACCCCCAGAGGAGATAGAGTAGCACAAAATGTAGAATGGATTAATCCAGCTTTGGCTGCCATGAGAACCCAGACTCTATCAGATGTAAATGTTAACCACAAGGGACAAAACTGTCTCTCATCCGGCATGATGCTGTAACTGCATATGCTGCCAGTAAGTGTGCCTAGTTGGACAAGTTCCTTTGTAGCTTGCAGGACTGCTTATGCTTCTAACGGTAGAGATATAGAGCAAAAGGGTAATGGCTACTGGTGGGGGAGTTGGGAGGAGGAAGGGAAAAGAGGCAAGGAACAAACTGATAATTATTTTAATCATTTTTAGAGACTTGGGAAGTAAAAACTGGTTGTAAAACTATTCATGCAAACCACAGAAACTGTGTAAATAATGATGGCTCAAGCTCTCCGGGGCCACTTGTTTGAACGACAATAGATAGTTACAATTCCTTCACTCTGCCGACTTCACACATCCATCCCAGGTCATCAAACCTGTTGGGAGAAAGGCCTCCACCAGACTACAAACATGAGACTTCTCTTTATTTTTACTTTATTATTATTTTCCATCTTTCTTTCTTTTACTTTTTTTTTCAAGACAGGGTTTCTCTTTATTGTTTTGGAACCTGCCCTGGAACTCGCTCTGTAGACCAAACTGGCTTCAAACTCACAGAGATCTGCCTGCCTCTGCCTCCTGAGTCCTGGGATTAAAGGCATGTGCCACCAATGCCGGCTATAATTTTCTTTTACACTTAAAATTATGTGTATATGTGTCTGTGAACATGAGTGCAGGTGCCCGAGGAGGCCAGAAGAGGGCATCAGATCACTTGCAACTGCATTACACGTGGCCACCTGATGTGGCTGCTAGAAACTAAAGCGGTACATGCTCTTAAGTGCTTACCCATCTCTCCAGCCCTCATTCATCTGATTTTGTCTGCTCTTTTCCAATGTCCTTTTGGGGTCTTCCTCTCTCGCAAGTACTTTATCCACTGAGCTGTCTCCCCAAATTCAACTTCACTTTGTTTTGTTTTTGTTTTTCAAGACAAAGTTTCTCTGTTTAGCAGTTCTGGCTATCCAAAAACTCACAGAGATCTGCGTGCCTCTGCCTCCTGAGGATTAAAGGTGTGTGCCACCACCTCCCAGTCACTTTATAAATTTTATGTGTATGAGTCCTGGAACTCAATTTGTTGACCAAGTTGGCCTTGGACTCACAGAGATTCAACTGCCTCTGCCTCCTGAGTGCTGGGACTAAAGGTGTGAGCCACCACCGGCTGGCGACAACTTTACATAGTTAAAGTAATATTCTGCTACATGAACAAGGTAACACATCTTTACATAGTTAAAGTAAACAACAAACCACCACAGGTTGCATAGCCATTTCATCTTTCAAATATCCCCTTGACTGCCAGGCATCGTGGCTCACATCTGTAATTCCAGCACTTGGGAGGCACAGTCAGGAGGATTACCACTGGTTTGAAGCTAACATAGTCTACATTGTGAGTCCCTGGGCTGTACAGTGGGGCCCTATCTTAAAAAAAAAAAAAGGTGGACAGTGATAGTGCACACCTTTAATTCTAGCACTTGGGAGGCAGAGGCAGGTGGATCTCTATGAGTTTGAGGCCAGCCTGGTCAACAAGTTCCAGAATAGCCAAGACTGTTACACAGAGAAACAGGTCTCGAAAAGCAAAACAAAACAAAAAAATGTCTTCTTGGAGGGCATGCGTGGACAGGCTCATGAAACTCACAAGAAATAAAAATTTAGGCAGCCCAGCAAACTTATGACAGATGCTGAACTTCTTGGCTCAGGGCAAATAAACAGCAAAGAGTTGCTGGGGAGTGGAGACTTTTCAGTGTTGTAGATGCCTGAGAGTTGTGCCAGGGATTTCCCTTAAGTTGTCATCCATGAGTGGGTGGGGCTTTTCTTTGTAATGAAACTGCCCTAGGTTTTCCTACCCCAGTAAGCAATCCTGCACCCAAACTCTTGTAAGCAGCTAAAGCAAATAACCAAACTAGACTTGGATAGATCTTTTCTTTGGTCTGTCCTTGTCCTCTCTATCTAACTAGAAATAGAGTTCCCAGGCATGCAACAGTTTGTTAGAGAGAATGCTCTGGAATGGCTGGGAATCTTAAGGAAAAGGATAGCTCAGGATCTTGGTTGGAGAATGAGTGTGGGAAGAAAGAGTCAGTTAAATGGCCCCCACTCCCTCATTTGCTCTTCTAACCGCACAAGTGGTCCTTAAGGTGGTCTTGTTTTTAAGACAGGGTCTCACTAGGCAGCCCTAGCTGTCCAGAAACTGGCTGTGTAGACCTGGCTAGCCTTGAATTCATAGAGATCCGCCTGCCTCTGCCTCCTGAGTGCTGGGATTAAAGGTGTTCACCACCACACTGGGAGATCTTTTTTTGTTTGTTGAATTTTGCAGTAGGAATGTATGTGAATCATGTGCATGCAATGTCCATCGAGGCCAGAAGAGGGGAGGGTCAGAACCCCTAGAACACAGGCTGGAGAGATGGCTCAGAGGTTAAGAGCACCAGCTGCTGTTCCAAAGGACCTGAGTTCAATTCTCAGCAACCACATGGTGGCTCACAGCCATCTATAATGGGATCTGGTGCCCTCTTCTGGCACTCAGGCAATATGCAGTACAGAACACTGTATACATAATAAATAAATAAATCTTAAAAACCAAACCAAAACCCTAGAACTACAGTACAGACTGTTGAGAGTCAACATGTAGATGCTGGGAACTGAACTCCAGTCCTCTGCAGGAACCGCAAGTGTTCTTAACCGTTGAGTCACCTCTCCAGGCCTTCTTAGGTTGCTTATCTTAGGGTTTTGATTGCTGTGATTAAACACCAGGACCAAAAGCAATTAGGGGAGGGAAGGGTTTGCTTGGCTTACACTTCCACATCATAGCCCATCCTCTAAGGACTGTCAGGCAGGAACCTGGAGGCAGGAACTGAAGCAGAAGCCACGGAGGAACACTGCTTACTGGCTTTACAACTCAACCTGCTTTCTAATACAACTCAGGAGCAGCTGCTCAGGGACTGCATTGCCACCCCCACACGGATCAGTAATAAAGAAAATGTCTCACAGATTTGTCTACAGGCAAATCTTATTAAGATTCCCTCTTCCCGGATGTATTTAGTTAAATCGAGGGCAACAAACACCCTGAGTGCAACGGACTTTCAGATCCTGTCCACCACGGAGAACCATTCTCTCTTACACTCACCACCTGCTGTGGTCCCTGGCTGTCTTCAGTCCTTTTGACTGTAGGGCCTTCCGTATATGTTTCCTTTTTCTTTTCTTTTTTTTTGGGGGGGGGTTTGAGACTGGATTTCTCTGTGGCTTTGGAGGCCGTCCTGGAACTCACTCTGTAGACCAGGTTGACCTCGAACTCACAGAGATCCACCTGCTTTTGCTTCCCAAGTGCTGAGATTAAAGGTGTGAGCCCCAGCTATGTTTCCTTTTTCTAGAACGCTCTTCCTGATTCCTTCCCTAAATTAGTCTTTCTCACTCCTAAGTTCACACCTCACCTCAGCTGTCATTTCCTATCCTGACCCCTCCCCCCCTTTCTTCGGTGAGGTTTAGAACTGATGTACCGCTCTCCCTCTGAGCTGTGAGCCCTTGGGAGCCGGGCCTTCATCTGATCGTGGACAGCCCTGTGCCTGCCTCTTACTTAGGCACAGGATCTGTGGAGCTGATGAATGGGTGTAGAAAAGCATGGGTGCTAATGGGTGTTGGTGGATCTCTTAAGCTCCCACTTACAGCCGAAGCAACCAGCTGACTCAGAGCACAGATCCAAGACAGCAAAGTTGTGCTTCTAGTAACACACACCCAACTGTCCTTCCTGATAGTTGTGACCTTTTCAGCTTGATGTGGTGAGATGCCAAGCACCCTGATAGCGTTACCTCTGCCATCTCCTGTACAAGGCCTTACAGACTCAGGTGGGTCCTTCATTTCCTCCCCCTGGGGTTGCAGCTGATTTTATCACCAAATCTAATTAGGATCTTTTGTGGGAAACGGACGGATTTGTTTTTCCTCTTGGTCAGGAATCACTTGATTGTTTTGGGAGAAGACATGGAGAGGAGTAGAGCGCACAGAACATCCAGTCGCAGGAAAGAAATCTGAGTCCTTTACTCCGTTGTCTTCATCTCCCCCAAACCCTATAGAGGCGGCAGGGAGATTTTTTTTTTTTTTATCTTGCAGAAACAGAATGAACTTGAGAGCGCTTAAGCGACTTGCTCAAGGTTACTCCCTTCGTCCGTGCAGAGGCGGGAGGTGGGATTCGCATCCAGGTTCTTCTGACTCCAAAGTGGCACCGGGGTGGGGCCGGAGGCCAGGCCAGAATAGGGGCGCCTGGAGCTGGCGGAGCCCAGTGAGGGAGCACGCGGGAGGCCTCTCCGGCCCTGCCCCCGAGCCGGTGGTGCAGCGCCCGCCCCCGATCGCGGGCTCAGACTGGCGGCCGCCTCCGAGCCACGTGGTGCACGCGGCGGCTCGGGGCTCCCGGGGCTTGGGCGAGCGCAGCGGGAGGCCGGCTGGGCGGAGGAGGCGGGAGCGAGCGCTGCAGCCTGCGACGTCGGGGCCGTGGCCTCTGCTGTCCGTGCGCCACTCTGGGTCCCTGCGCCCAGGGCGCACGGTGGAGACGGACGCGGCGGCGCCATGGAGCCACTGCCCTCTGCCCGCGCGGAGCTGCAGTCCCCGCTCGCCAACGTCTCGGACGCCTTCCCCAGCGCCTTGCCCAGTGCGAGCGCCAACGCGTCGGGGCCGCCGGGCGCCCGGAGTGCCTCATCCCTCGCCCTAGCCATCGCCATCACCGCGCTCTACTCGGCTGTGTGCGCAGTGGGGCTGCTGGGCAATGTGCTCGTCATGTTTGGCATCGTCCGGTGAGTCGGCTGAGGGCGCCGCGGGGTTTGATACCAGGGTCATTGTGGACCTGGATCCCAACCCCAACTCTCAACCTCGACTCTCCCAGCTCCGGCATGTCCCGCACAGAGGCCAAGTCCTGTGTGTGTGTGTGTGTGTGTGTGTGTGTGTGTGTGTGTGTGTGTGTGTGTGTGTGTGGTGTATGCTTGCACTAGCCTAACTACATTACAATTAATCATCCTTGACATTCCTTTGCTTCTGCATCAGGGAAGTGGGGTGGTTTGGCAATACTTTGTCACACACAGTTTGTGACCCAGCAATTTGACAGGAGGAGTGTGTGTGTTTGGTCCTCTGAAACCTTACAGCGATGGGCTGAGGTGTTCTATACCATGCCTTGTGTCTTTGGAGCATACAGCAGGGACAGGCTCCATGCTGCAGGGACACTCCACAAGTCACATTTGGTTGTCATCTTTTGTGGTTGCTGTGGCAGTGTGGGCTTGTCCCAAACCATCAATTTGTGATTCTGTACGAGACCATATTTGCATTGTTTCTTGTCAAACCTCTACAGCTCCTGTGAGGGAGACATCCAGGATGACTTTGTGCACCTGCCTTTGACCGTGTGTTCTCTAACAGAGAGCCCCATGGTTCCTGTGGACTGACCATAGATTCTCTTCCCTTCCCCAGTGGCCATGTGGTCAGGAACTCTGTCTGTGATTCAGGGTAGGCTATCCTCCTTGAGGTCTAGGCTACAGAGTGAGTTCAAGGCCAATTTGAGAATATAGCAAGACAGGAGTGGTGGGATACAGAGAGGGAGGGGGAGGGGCAGGGGGAGGGAGAGGGAGGAGAACAAGGGCTTAAGAGACACAGGATGTAGCTCAGTTGATAGAGCTTGTGTAACAGTCATGAAACCCTGGGTTCAATCCCTGACACACCATAAACTGGGCGTGGTGGTCCATGGCTGTAATACCAGCCCCAGGGGCGTGGAAGCAGAAAGCTCAGAAGCCAGAAGTCAGTCATCTTTGGTTGCATAGATAACTGGAAGCCAGTCAAGGATAACGGGCTTGAGATAGAGTTAAATGGGAGAGTACTTGCCTACCAACGTGCAACACTGAGTACTACCTAAGATAACAAGCGAAATGTCTCTAACTCACTGTACCTGGGGGCACAGTGACGTCAGTAAAGCATTTCTTTTTCTCTCACACTGAGGTATGGGTTTATAGCAGGCTTCACAGTATGCAAATGAAAGGTTTGGGTTGTCCCCTCTGCCTTCTGCCAAGGTTCCCCAGGGCTGCTGGGAAGAGTTCTCAACCACACTTTTGAGACTTGGGAGCACTAAGCCCTGTGTTGTTTAGAGAGATTCAGTATGTGCCCCTTGTTCCCCCTTTTGCTCAGATTAGGGGTTCAGATCTACTCCCAGTCAGGAGACACCCCAGAAAGACCAGGCAGTGTGGAGGTAAAGGTCATGGCTGTGGTGTGGTGTTCAGTTTCTACCATCTTCAACGTGTCCGACTGATGTTGCCGTGGCCAGACAGCTCAACTTTCCTGAGCCTCGCTTACCTCATTTGAAGAAGCCTGGTGATTACAATCGGCTGTTGGGATGGAGTAATACAGGGCATGTCCTAATAGCAGGCACCTGGAGCACACCTGGCCTTCAGTGTGTGTTGGGGGCTGGCATTAGCCAGCACATCAGCAGTTCTGCAGGTGGGCAGCTGCTGGGCCTTAGTTTCCGTGTTGGGCCCTGTCTCCTGCCCTGCAAACATGCACATTTAGTCAGTCAACAATTAATATTGCTGTTGTTACTTATTGCTGCACCTGTCCAGTGTCAGGTTTTTTTTTTTTTTTTTTTTGACACAGCCTTGGCTGGTCTGAAACTCTCTGGAGAACAAGGCTGGCCTTGCAGTCATCTCGTAGAGATCCACCTGCCTTGGCCTCCCGAGTGCTGGAATTAAAGGTGTTCACCACCACACCTGGCCATCGGAGCGTTTGATGCCCAGGCTCTGAGCCCAAGCCTCAGGTGGCCTCTAGTTCTTAACATCCGTACTCCAGGATCCCAAGGTTAGATGCTACCTCAGGAGCAAATGCAGCTTCCCAGGGCTGTGAGATTCAGGGCAGGGATTTTATTTAACCAGAGGAGGTGATGCCTGGACTGAGTGGTGAAGGAGGAGCTGCAGGTGGGGGTGGGGCAGAGGAGCAGCGAGAGATCCGGTAGGGGGCAGGGAGTTTCATCTGGGGTCTGGGTGGTCAGAAGGTAGAGGGGTTGCAGGACAAGGGCATAAAAAGCCTTGACAGTGGTGTCCTTCTCTCCGGGGTTGTTGGAAGCATCCATCTGCTATGTTCTGAGCTTCGTTAGAGCCTGGTGGCCAGTGAAGAGTCTATCAACTTAGCCTCTGCCTTCCAGAATGCCCAAGAAGGTGCAGATGCTGGAGGGTTCCATAGACCCCAGGCAACAGAAGGAATTGGTCTGGGGGTGGGAAGATAGGGGAGGAGTGAGAAGTTGAGGAGAGTCTTGGAGACAGGCCAGGGTGGCTGTGTTAGGAACAGATCGTGTGCTGGGGCTCTGACTGCTAGTCTGGATGTGGGATTGGAGCTTGGACAGGTTCTTGGCTCCATGCTATGGCCAGGCATGCTGGGAAGTCGGGGTGTCTGGGGAGGGGGACATCTGTGAAGAATGGTGGTCAAGAGAATAGATCTGGTAATGGGGTAGACTAGGTGGACAGAGAGTGAGTGTGGGGGAATCAGAGGCTGGTGCCAGGCGATGGGAGGAACCCTGTGACCCTGGACAGGTAACCAAAACCCCTGCCTCCAGCCTCCAGGGCATCTCTGCAACTCAAGCCTGCTAGACCTGACCAGGAGGGTACAAACTGGACCAATGACTTGGGCGAAACCAAACAGGGAGAGGGCAGAGTGAGCAGCAGCCAGGGCCTCCTGGCCTTGCCCACAATCTGCCATTTCCCAGGCCTTAGGATCATTCCCTGGGGAGTGTGTGTGACTCACAGACACAGTGGAGTGAGTGGGAGGAGTCGCCAAGGACACCAAAGTCTCTCCTGAGCCTTCTCCTGGGCTCCCGGGATTCTCCAACCCGCACCACAATTCTGCAGTGGGGCTTTCTATTCTCATTCATAGCCGAGGACATGGGGCTCTTATAGCCTCGGCTGGTCCCAACTTGCTGTGTAGTTGAGGATGAACTAGAATGTCCCATCTTCCTGTCTCTACCCTACCAAGTGCTGTGGTTACAGACAAGCATGCCCAGCATGGACTCAGGTCTTTCTGAGCCCCCAAACCATCTTTAACCACTTTGCCTGTGCTAACTTGAGATGCATGGAGAGTGGAGGTCAGGGTTGAGTAAATCTCCAAGGCCTCAGTGGGTGATACCAGAAGCTGCAAGCCCAAATATCAGGGCCGGCTGACATTTCCTAAGAGGGTGAGCTTAAACATTAGTCTCTCTGTGCCTCAGTGTTCTGCTCTGTGGAATGGGAGGATGGTAGATCCTCGAAGGATGAATGTGAGATCACGGGGAATGAGCCAGCACCAGGTGTTTAGTAAGGGTCTCAGAAGCAATTTCCATAAGTCTGGCTGTGAGGGGGAGGGGTAAGGTTCACCTCTCGTTCACCCAGTTGACGTTTATTAGGCACCGGAGGAGCTCTGGACGGATGCTACAGGGCAACTTTATCAGGTCAATATTAGAAGCTTTCTTTTATAATAAAGATAACTAGATAGTTACATTAGGACCTAAGGAGATGTTCCGGCAGAGGTTGATATTACCCATAATCCTACTGCAGAGAAAAGCTTAGTCATTTATATGTATTTCTTTCTCATCTCTGCTTTTGTATACACACACATACAGAGAGACATGGACACAAAGACACATACATAAACATAAGCTTGTCTTTGTGAAATTAAAGATACATAGCGAAATCAGGATCCAGGTATGTGGATTTTTTTATTTTATTTATTTATTTATTTTACGAGACAGGGTTTCTCTGTATTGTTTTGGAGGCTGTCGGTCCAGCCCGGCCTGGAACTCACAGAGGTCCACCTGCCTCTGCCTCCCGAGTGCTGGGATTAAAGGCGTGTGCCACCAACGCCTGGCTTCTTTTGTGTTTTTTTTTTTTTTTTTTTTTTTTGGTTTTTTGAGACAGGGTTTCTCTGTTTTGGAGGCTGTTGGTCCAGCCTGGCCTCGAACTCACAGAGATCCGCCTGCCTCTGCCTCCCAAGTGCTGGGATTAAAGGCGTGCGCCACCAACGCCCGGCTTCTTTTGTTTTTTAAAATTAGATAATGTTTATCTAATTTTACGTGTGAGTGCTTTGCTTACATGTTTGTATGTGCACCACATCCATGCCTGGTGTCTATGGAGGCCAGGAGAGGGGATCACATCCTTTGAAACTGCAGTTACAGATGGTGAGAACCACCCAGTGGATGCTGGGAATCGAGCCTGGGACCCGCAGGAACAAGTGCTCTTAAATGCTGAGTCATCTGCCAGCAGAGAGGGGGCGGGTGGGCTCTTCTTGTTAATTTTTTTTTTTGCAGTTTCTGTTGTGTGTATGTATGTGTGCACGTATATGTGTGTGTGTGCACGAGGAGGCCAGAAGAGGGCACCAGATCCCCCTGGAGCTGGAGTTACAGGCAGTTGTGAGCTGCCTGATGTGGGTAGGATGTGGGAATTGAACTTGGGTCCTCTGGAAGAGCAGCCAGGGCTCTTAACCAGGGAACCATCTCTCTAGCCCCATACCAGTTTTTTAAAGCCATCTCTCCCATCGCCATGGCAATCTAGATGGCATGCCTATGAATGTTTTGAATAAGCGTGGTTGCACACCCCTCCCAGTGTTTCTGCACACACACACACACACACACACACCCTCACACCCTCTGCCCTATCAGAGGCCTTTAAGGATGAACTGCTGTCCTGTAAGAAACTTCCTGTCACTGAAGGGATAAAGCAAACACTGGAAAGTCACTGGGTCCAAGTGTGGTGTCAGAGATTCTGATAGATGGAGAAAGATAAGACAAGCAAAAATTCAG